CCCCCTCCTGCTGTGAAGCCCGAAAAATGCGCACACAGCAGAGGACACAGCGGGTTCGCAGGGATAAGGCAAGTGACACTTTTGCGCAATCCCGAGTGTGGCTCGGGTTTACCGCTCTTGGTACTGAAAATTAACCCCGAACCACACTCGGGAATACCGCCAGGGAGGTTAATAAAATGTTGTGAATGAATTATAGGCAGTAAACCAGTATAAGAGTCTCTGTCTACGGGCATCAGAAATGCATCTCCCCATACAAGTCCATGCAAAAATTTTAGTGCTTTGAAGCAGGTAAAAAAAAAAGTAATCTGCAGGTCAAATGCACTTGTCAATGTGTGTGTTATGGTGGTGCAATCTGTGTCCATCTGTGACCAGGTAAATTGCCTTGTCTTGCGTTGGGGCTGTACTCGAAAAAAATGGCCAGTGCAGCCCCAACGCATTTGTGGGTCTTTTGCTCTCTGTGAGCAACATGCCCCCTACTGAGTCAGACCTACTGTATAGCTCTGCAATCGGCAAAGCTCATTCTCCCTGCTGATTGGAGAGCTCTGACTCACCTGGGGGGGTGCTGGACCTCTGCAAAGAGATCACTGGTTCCCAACAGAGAGCAAGGGTCCCAGTGTACAGCATGCTGGCAGGGCACAGACCTTTCTACTCAGTTTGTGGCTGTTTAAAAAAAAAAACAAAAAAAAAACTAAAGGTGCCCATACACCTTACGACCATCGCAAGACTTTTGTCTTGCGATGGTCGTATGCCTCTTGAAAGCCAGTACGATCTGCCCACCTTGGACGGGCAGATCGTACTTGCGATCATCGAAAGCCCGCCCCGCTGAGGGGCGGGCTTCCGATGGCGGCAATGCAGAACGGGCAGTGTGCGCGTGGGGAACCTCTCAAGCTGGCCATACACCTATAACTTTTCTGCAGATTTTCTATGGTCAGATGCAAAAAGTGCAACAGATTCCTCCATCTACGCTAAACTGTGTGGATGGAGGAATCTCCCGCTGGGCCAAGCTTCAGTATCTTGCTAGTTGGCCCCGCTGGCTCTCAATACACCTGAATAATGCCTGCATCCCATCAGATTGTTCAGGTATTTTAACAGCCAGTGGGAGATTCCTCTATCCACACAGTGTAGCGTGCATGGAGGAATCTGTTGCACTTTTTCCTTCTGACCATAGAAAATCTGCAGATAATCTATAGGTGTATGGCCAGCTTGAGGCTGACAGCATTGTAAAAACATTGGAGTTCCCAAAACCTTGGTGTACTGACCCTCCCTTTCTTAATATGCAGAGGCTTTCATGAATTACCAGTTCATAGTCACTCTGAGGGGGGAAAAACATGGTTAACTACTAAAAGGACCCTGTGCAAGTTACCAACCAGACTGTAGAAAAAACAACTGAATGGAATACAAATACTTAAAATGTGTGGCGAATGGAATGCTGGTCCCGTAAATATGTTCCACAGCAGCTTATGCTGAGTCTGTTTTACTAGAAGCCATGTAGTTGACGCTTACTCTCCGACCTAACTGAGTTCTCGTATAATACCTGTGTCTTCCTCCTGTGAATTTATTCCATTCAGTGTTCTGAATAACAAATCAAATTACAGCCCATTTACAATAAAGATGCTGGGAAACTGACCAATGCAGCACCTGTTTAGCAGGTGCTAAATATGAATTATTCATATACGTGCCATATTTAGACTTCTGTAGTCAGACACTATTGCCAATCTTTTATAGACATTCAAATCGCAATGTTTTTTTTAGAGAAACGTATGGACGTATGGGTTTAATTTACTGAACCCCGTTTTTGTGCTGGCGGTACAGTTGATAGCGCAGCCCCAGCATGCAGAACTAGCTGTCACTGATAGCGCCTGATCCAGAGTAATGATCAGGTGCTGGAAGGATTGGCTCTTGATCATGTGATCATTAGTAAAAGATGCCTCCCCCTGAATCTTTTCCTCTGCAAGGACAGTATAACCTTACAGGTTATGGTGAGAAGACATGAAAGGAATTCAAAAGCCCTAACATTTATTCAGTGCATAGCACAGTAAAGCCTTATTAAAACAGCATGTATGCACATGTCCCATTCCATTACATATCCAAACAATAAGAGGAATGTTTCTCAATTTAGAATAGTGGGGGAAATCATGCAAACCATTGCTTTTTGCCCCTTGCCCAGATGCACGTCCAAAACTGCTGGTGTATAATGCTAATCTAGCCCAATATTATAGAGCCCTTTACTCCCAATTGCTTCCAGCTGTTCCATAGCTTCTGTGGAGTAAGGCTTGGGACCCAACAGGGCAGTGTAACCATGCAGGCTATGGTGAGAATGGATTTCACTGCCATAAGTACTATGTCCATAGGAGCAGGAAGCTGTTACACCCCCTCAGCTGACGGTCGGCTTTTAGGTAGAAGTGATTCAGATGCCTGCAAAGTCCATCACCTCTACACCCCCCTGCAGGTGCCACCCATCACCAGGTATCCACATGAATGTCAGGTGTAGAAGAATTCATTTTGTGGATTTTTTTTGGTGGTGGGTCATGGTAAAAAATACACAGCTAAAGTTTTTTTTTAAAATCAGGCGATATCCATTAAATTAACATTTACTGCTAAACGAAGGTTGCATCTGTCCTGAAAAAAAAAGTATAATTCACCTGCATACATTAAGAAGTTCCAAGTATACATTTGCTATGTCCCCAGTTATGAATGGACAGGAAGTGCTAAACATCACTTCCTGTTAATTCATGATTGGGGACATAGTAATCATTGACTATGTTCTCAGTTTATGAATGGACAGGAGCACTCAGTACAGATGCTGATACATGAATTATGTCCATTCATAACAGGGTAGAGTACTATGCCGCCTTCAGTTTGTGATTGAACAGGAAGCTGAGTGCTTCCT